AAACATTATGCACTTTTTTTCGCAGATAGTCATGTTATCTTATGCTTTGAATAAACGTGCATTGGTAATATTTTGCTCGATGCGCCCTCTTGTGGCCTCAGAAGAGAAGCCAAAAGCTATTCTTCACCATAACTGAAATTATGCATTTTAAATTCGAATATAATTCGAATTTTGATAATATTTAAGTACAAAATTCGAATTTAGTTTTTCAGCCATTTTGACAGCCCTAGTTTGATGTAGCCTTTTATCATCTACATCTCTGCTCATTAGCAAAAGTATCTATTTTAAAGCAGCTGAAGTTCTGTCACACTAGTGACATGCACCAGTATTATGATAATAAGTTAGCAAAAGCAGCTTGTTGTTACTGTAAAATCTACACTACTTTTAAACTACTACTTACTTAGCTACTTCCCAACACGAATGCACAGTTTATTAATCACATAAATGTTTAAATGAAAACATTTTTTTTTTGTTCAAATTTTGAATTCCTTAAATGTTCCTTGTGAGACTTGTAAGTTTTTTATAGGCCTTAGTACGAAATAGGATAGCATACTTGCACTTTTTGCAGTATGAAATATGTAAATTGCTAAATAATAACAATGTAAAATGTACAGTATTTAACAGAACAGTGTGGAATACTGCATCCCATGATGCAATGGGCTTGACTTGTGAGGAATGACCTGGAAGTGTTATCAGCATTTTTTATTCATTATTTAATCAGACAAGACAATTTACACTAAACTGGGTTAAAAATGCTAAATAATTTTTTGACTGCACTAAACGTCACTCACTGAATCAAACAAGCAGCATAAAGAGGTCATGTGGCAAAAATGTAGCATACTGCTTGAAACTGTTAATGTTACATTTTATACTACTTCATGTGGTTTTAAAAAAATAAATAGTACAGGCTACAGTTCATAGTTTTGCATTCCGGACAGACTTCAGTTTGCCGTTTTTGTCTTATTTTTCTTCTCTTTTCCTCTCTTCCCCAAAGTCTCTCTGTGCATAGCACTTGCACTTAAATACCCTTTTTCCACTTGTGTGGTAATTGTCCATAGCGAGCTGTGTAGGTGAATGGATTTCCAGGACTGCCGTGAGGGGACCGTTTCATAGTCCAGAAGGTTCCAATTTAATCATACAGAATGTATATTTTGTATGGGGGACATTCTCAACATGCCAGAGAAAAATGGCTGGTGTATATCTGTAAAAATATATAATTATAAGTCACAAAAATCGTTTCAGACTGTTTCGTTTGCAAAAAGGGGTTAACAAAACATTTCACTGTCAAGTGCAGGCTCCGAGCGTCTAGGGAGTTAAAGTTAATAAATGCTTTTCACAGCTTGTGTTTTGCCTTCCCGCTATACTTTGACTAGGCAGTCAGCATTCGCCTCAGCGGCCATAAATTACAGTGCGGTGTGTTTGCCTCAGGTCCTGATGGTTTATTTCAACCCTGTTCCTTCATGACAGATTTGACAATGTGGCTGTGAGATCCTCTCCGTTTCAGCTTTTTGGCCTCGTTAAATAGCGTGTGATTCTGTGGCAGAACATCTGTGATGGAGGAGATACTGCAAATTTTGTCAGGCGAGCACTTTAGCGTCTGACTGAGTATGTGGCACAGTTTCACCCACTACAGTTTCCGTTTGCCCACTGAAAGAAGTCTGTAAGGCATTGATGTGTGCGCGTGTGCGAAAGACGGAGCAGGAAAAATGATTTTGCCCCAGAGGAGACTCGCTGTATTTTTTCAAGCCTGCATTAGCCAGATTCTGCTAATGGAGCAGGACTATAACTCAGCGGTTTGAAAGAGCTGTTGCCCGGAAGCACAAGTGTCCCTTTGACCCTAAATTTGAATACACAGTGTTGATGTGCAGTGACTGTACATAAATAGTGTTCACATGCTAACAAATATTGAGTGCATTCAAGGGCAGAAACACAGATTTGCACCCTCCGTCACGTAGTGTGATGTAATGCATCGCATGTTTGGTTGTTTGACCATGTTTTTATACTGTATATGGTCAAACAACCACAAAAATATGAAGCCGCACAACTGTTTTCAACACTGATAATAATAAGAAATTATTCTTGAGCAGTAAATCAGCATATTGGAATAATTTCTGAAGGATCATGTGACACTGAAAACTGGAGTAATGATGCTGAAAATTCAGCTTTGTTATCACGGGAATAAATTGCATGTTAAAATATATATTAAAAAATAAAAGACAGTTTTGTTAAATTATTATAGTATTCCGTACAATTATTGTTTTTATTTTATTTTTGCACTAAATAAATATGGATTTTTGAAACCAAAGATGTTTACTAAATGTAGAGATTGTAGTTTGATTCCAAAACATTTTCAACATTTTAAGTAATGTTTAATTTGGACCACTTTATTGTTTTCTTAATGGTAACTTTGTTATTAACAGTTTAAAATTTGTAGGGAAAAATACATTTAATCTTTAATCTGTTGACCCATTTAATCCCACCGGTCACAATAGTGACCGTAAAAAAGGTTTCATTTATAAAGCTCTAAAAACCATACTGACTGATGTTTTATTGCATTTCCTGCAAATATGGAAAAAATAAAGGGTCTCAATTAAATATGTGCAGTTTCACATGATTAGGGCAAATTGTCACATGACCAGAGCAGTTTATTGCACCTTGAGAAGATGATAACTGCATCAAAGCTCCAAAACGAAAGGCTAGTAAAGTATGTTAACATAAAGATATGACAAAAGATTTTTGGTACACATTATCTTTAAGGTGTCTAGTATTTATATATGAATTCACATATATTCAGTTTTGTTGAGTGTGGTCATGGAATGGAATGGTGGGATAACTGTGAACTTAGGTATACAATATAAATCCAATTGCAGTTGTTAGTGAAAATTACACTAAAATGTTGCAACGACAAAACATTGCACTAAATAAAAAATTCAAATGTTACAAAAAATTACAATATTGATGTTGTAATACTGGTAGCACTAATATAAAAATGTAATGTTATATTTTACAAAAAAAGTAACAATTTTGAAATGCACTGATGGTTGAATTTTTTTTGTCTTTTATCTCAGTGTTCCTATCAATGTTGCATACGTTTTTTTTAATGCAAAATAGTAACCCTAGAATGTGATCAAACAGTTTAAAATAGCTGGGCTAAGATATACAGTATAACAATTTTTATGACTGCAGAAATATGTTAATTCAGTACACACATTATCCCACCGGTCACAATTGTGACCGACCATAAAACACAATTTTTCACACACTTTTCCAAAAAATAATTATTGATTTTTTCAAAGGGTTACTAATGACACATCATTTGGATATTTTCATGTCTCGGAAAAATATGGGATTAAACGGGTTTTAAACTTGAGATTAAGTATTTACAGTGTACAGTAAATCCAGTATATATTAGATAATATATATATATATATATATATATATCACAAAAAACTATCATATCTGTACTGTACTGTAACATTTTTGGGCAGTTTTGGGTTAGTGATATTGTGACTGAGATATTTGTAATGAGATTCTAAAACATGGATATTTAAAATGATTTTTCATTTTTTGTGTGTTTGAGGAACAACCACTGTTGCTAAGCAAATATCTTGGCCTAATAGAGCCACCAGTTTCATTTTGGTTTAATCTCCTTATCAGATCAAGTTCTTTAATTAACTCCACAACAAATATTGTCCATAGATAAGAAGTGAAGGGACCAGAACTCTTTTCTGGTGCAGTCACTTCTGCTGCTTCTCAAGGCAGAGAGGGACGAGAGGAAAGGAGGCACAATGTGGCGACAGAGAGATCTGGTCCACACCCGGACTCAGACAATAGGGGAAGTGCTGCCCCATAATGTATTGTGTTTAATACAGAGCCAGGACGGGGAGAGGGAATTTGTCAATCTAGCTGTGGGCTCTAACACGGTACACAAATCAAACTGCCGGCATTGTGCCAAACCTTTGGAGGGTTCTCATGTGAGAGAAAACAAGCGATTTGTACCGAGGTCTCAAAAGCACAAAATACTGCTTCAATGGGGTTGAATAGTATACTCTGTAAACAGGTTATTGCCATATGCACCCATACCCATGGTATGGCAGACGTTTATGATTTAGTACCATTTACAGACTTTGGTGGGGCAATGAATGTGGTGTAAACATGCAGACGATTGTACACATTAACTACGGAAAAGCCTTGTCTTCATTATTTAGGCTAATGGGTTTGCATGCCATGAGCACAGTGTTTGTGTTGCTTACTGTTTAATGTAAAGATACTTTACTGAAAGTGAACTAAAACAATTTCTGTTTATTTGGGAAAAACATTATTTTATTTTCTATTCTTTTGGTTGGCCTTGTTAGTACATAGCGAATTAATCATACATGCAAACATTTTTCTTTATGTACTGCATATTTGCATATCTGCAGAAAATTAAAATGAATAATAATAATAATAATAAAATCAAATAAAACAACAACAACATGACATCAGTGTCCTCAGTTAGGCGCATCAGTATTTTGGGCATCATGGTCAAACATGTAACTGTCATCACATATAATTAGTTATGGATTTACTGTACACTGTAAATACTTAATCTCAAGTTTAAGTCAACAGATTAAAGATTAAATGTATTTTTCCCTACAGATTTTAAACTGTTAATAACAAAGTTACCATTAAGAAAACAATAAAGTGGTCCAAACTAAACATTACTTAAAATGTTGAAAATGTTTTGGAATCAAACTACAATCTCTACATTTAGTAAACATCTTTGGTTTCAAAAATCCATATTTATTTAGTGCAAAAATACAATAAAAACAATAATTTTATGGAATACTATTATAATTTAACAAAACTGTCTTTTTTATATATATATATTTTAACATGCAATTTATTCCTGTGATGCAAAGCTGAATTTTCAGCATCATTACTGCAGTCTTCAGTGTCACATGATCATTCTAATATGCTGATTTACTGCTCAAGAAACATTTCTTATTACTATTAATGTTGAAAACATTTGTGCTGCCTAATATTTTTGTGGAAACCATGATACGTTTTTTTCAAGAATCTTTGATGAATAGAAAATTCAAAAGAACAGCATTTATTTGAAATTAATATATATATTATATATATATATTCATAACCATGTAAAAGTCTGCATTGTCACTTTTGATCAATTTAATGTATCCTTGCTGAATAAAAAAAGTTTACCTTAGAAAAGAAGATTAGGTAAACCTGATTACAGAAGTGCTTTACAAAGAAAGACATTAAGTCTACTTTATTTTAATGAAGTAGGTTTATAAAGGCTTTTGGTCTGCATGGCTTTTTCCCAGTAAGGCTAACCAATTAGTGCACAATATACATTTTATAGACGCAAAAAGTTACATTTGCATTCAATTTTCATTAAGGTTAAAGTACCATTATTTGAAAAATGTTCAGAAAATATAATCAAGTGCCATACTCAAGTTTCATGATGAATTGCTTACAAAATACACAAAGGTAATTTTTCCAGAGAGATTTGGTTGTTTATAACAAATCATTTCTTAAAAGACCGTCAACATTTGCAGTGACTCTTTCAGACATCATTTGAAAGACGTTGTTGTATAACGTTTTCAGCAAAGGGGAACACATCTGTTCTTTGCCATGCAATATGAGACCATTCTATATTACAGCACAGACAGCAAAATAAGCAAACTGGCAGTTGTTATTGCAAATGACTTATGACAGTATAACAGTGATTAATCAGGAGAGAATTCTTTAATGCGTGGCTTTACATATTCATCGCATAAATCATGGCAAAATAGTCTTGCGCACACATAAAGCCAACGAATGAGGTGTTTCATGCTCTAATAGAAAGAAATAACAGCTTGTATTTAACAAATGCATAAAAAATGCAGCCTGTTCAGATGCACAGACATCACTGTGCCAAAAGTGGTGATCTCACACACATGATTTTGACAGTGACCAAACGAATGCACAAATAGAGGAAGACGTTTCAGCTTAGAGGTAGCTACAAGTCTCAATATGAAGGAGAACATGGTCTCTGTGGGCTACATCAGGCAGGAGCGCGTGGGTGAGACTGTTTCATGCTTCTTGGACTATGTCATGCCTCCCATTTTCAGCCTGCCAGCGTCTATGATCCCAGGCAACTGAGGGACCTTCACTCAGTGTGTGGTGGGCGACAACAGTGTAAAGAAGAACATGGATACAATATGCTACAATGAGCTGTTGCAGTGTTTATTCTTAAGATTGTGGGAAAGGACGCATTATGCCTAACTTTAGTTAGCTATCTCTGAAATCAACTAGAATAAAGATAAAACAACAACAAAAATAGAAACATGCACATGCATTACGTAGACTGTCGTTTTTAAAAGCCGTACTAATGCATCAAGCACACAGAAAGACAAAATTGATGCATACGTTGTCAGTGACAAAGATTATAAAAATAATGTCATTATGTATTTCTTTTCAGTTTTGGTAAAAAAGGAAAACAATGAAGAAAAAAACAACACGCCTGGAGTTTGTCAATTTCAGGTCTGATTAAGCTCTGACATCCTTGACGATAAAAATGTCCCTTGAGGAGGGCCATATGCTTCGACTAGTCTTCTTTCCATTGTCAAAGTCAATTTGACCTTTTTAGATAATAACTTTGAACTAGACACTGGACATGTCTTTGTGAGTAGTTTATAATTCACGGTATTTTACTTAATTATATTCCCCCCGAATTCTGTGCAAATGTCCAAACATACAGCACACAACATGTGATGCTGCCATGTTGAGCTCTAGGCCTGTTTTTTGTTATTTTTAATCTCAGGCTCTCTAAACAAGTGCCTAATGGACTTTTTAAATAACTGGGTGGCTCTCCATACAAAAGCATCTGGGAAAAGGAAGGAAGCATGTCTCAATGAGGGGAAGATGTGTGTGTGTGTCTGTACTGGTGTATATGGTGTGTGTGTGTGTGTGTGTACCTACTTAACCATATTTTGGGGACAAATTTGTACCCAAAAGTGAATTAAACCTGACAAAATCTCCAAAAACCTCCCTTTGGGGACGTCCTCATTTGTAAAACTGATATAAAAATAAAGTAAACAAAGTTTTTTTACAATTGTAAAAATGCAGAAAGTTTTCTGTGAGGGGGAGATTTAGGTGTAGGGTTGTGTAGGACGATAGAAAATACAGTTTGTACAGTATAAAAACCATTACACCTATGGAATGTCCCCATTTATAGCCAAGTAAACGTGTGTGTGTGTGTGTGTGTTTCATTTGCATGGGAAAGGATTCAAGTAATAACAGACTGGACATCACATACTCAACACATATGGTCCAGAGTGCTCTAGAGTGAATGGGTGCCGTCAGAATTAGAGTTCAAACATCTGATAAAAACATCACGGCTTTTCAAGACATTATTGATGGACTGGAGTCGTGTGGATTACTTGTGGATTATTTTGATGCTTTTATCATTTGTTTGAACTCTCACTTAAAACTCACTATAAAATACTGAATAAGAGTGACAGACAATATGTAGCTGCTAAAATTGTAAGAGTGTCCTGCAAACATCAGGTAGCACATCCAATAAGGGTAATGCACAACAATTTTTTTTTATTTAATTCAGCGATTATGCACCATAGTTTTTACTGATTTAAAAACATAAATATAACGCAAAAGTGCGTTAACCTACTAGCTCAAACAGAGGAAAATGGCGGTACCAATGCCAAGGTCATGAGTTCATTTCCCAGAGAATGCATGAATTGGAAAAAAAAGTATCTTGAATGCAGTGCATATCGCTTTGGATAAAAGCATCTGTCAAATGTGTAAATGTAAATGTAATTTAAAAACAGCTTTGTTGTGGATTCAAAATAAGAATTGCCATGGATGAATAATCTAACAGGCCAAGAGAGGTGTTAGGACAAAACATTATCCAGAAATATCAATAAATATTTTAAAAGCTCATTTATAACAATAATTACAACATATTTCAATGTCCCTGAAAATGAGTTCTGGTCAATAAACACTGGTCAAACAACCAGTGATACTAATAGTTCTCAAAGGCATTTGAGCTGATTTCATTGCATTACTTTGAACTTGTGCCTTGTTGGTTTTGAGAAGTAAAATGGTCCAAATGAAAGCACGCAATAAATTAAAACTATTTTTTGAAGCAGTTTTGATAAACAAACAGCATAAACAACTGCAGTATTTTTTTCTGTAACAATTTAAGAATTTCTGTCCTTTCACACCAGTTTACAGTGCTAAAAATTATGTGATGACCTGTGGAATGAAAGAATTTGCATTTGCCAATCTGAGCTAGTGAGCTGAAAATGAATTCATTTCAGCTGTTCTAGCTTTCAATGGCACAAAAGACAAATAGGTTTAACTTTTAAATGCATTTTCTTTTTCTCTCAGGTCATGATGCATACATAATACAGCATGCATGACTTAAACTCAAATTACTTATTCCTGGAGCTTGAATGGTCATGGTCAGAAGACCTGCTGCTGCTCTGTTCACATATCAATCACTGATCAGTCTAATTATGGATAAACACCCCCATCTAGAGGATATTTCAAACATTAAAGAAAACAATCTGAACAGGAATTTAAGCATATAGCCTAATAATAATAATTAACATTCATAAAGCAATGCACAATACATTTCTTAAATGAACTACAGTAATGGATATGCATATATTACTATTATTATTATTATTACTTCAGCTAGGCTTTTAATAATATCAGTAATAATGGCAAATAATGCATGGCTTAAGTTATAGTATAGGGATGATATGGGATGCCCCAATTAGATGCCCCATTTGAAAGCAGTGTGCATTTACTGATAAACTGTAATATTTAGACCAGGGATGGGCAACTGACGATAGTGACTAGTGCCAGCACTTTTTCTCCTTTAAACCAAGGGACCAGATTACTAATCCACATCCACACACCCAGTGGTCTCAAACTCAATTCCTGGAGGGCCACAGCTCTGCAGAGTTTAGCTCCAACCAGCTCCAACTCACACCTGCTTGGACGTTTCTAGTAATCCTGAAGACCTTGATTAGCTGGAGCAGGTGTGTTTGATTAGGGTTAGAGCAAAACTGTGCAGAGCTGTGGCCCTCCAGGAACTTGTGCAGGTATGCTAATTCAAATGGGAAACTTTGTTGTCAGGTGACAAGCAATATTACCCCAACAAGCAAATGTAAACATCTCAATTGCATTGTCTGTAAATTTGCAATCAAACAAATGTAGAGAGCCTGTTTTTGATTAGTACAGTTTGATTAGGACAGTTAAAAAGTGCTTATTAAAAAAAAAAGTTATTCCAAATAGTACCATAAACATAGGACTAGTAATATTATAAGAACATAATTCAGTCAGTGCATATACATTTCTGTCATGCATTTGACAAAAAGGTTTTGTTGACTATGTATTTTACGGTAAACAGTCAACAAAACCTTTTTGCCAAATATGAATGTATTTTTACCTTTGAAATCTGAGGCAAGTGCAACTCTGGCGTCAATGATGTATCATTCATACTTCTTTGTGAGCAGTGATGTAATGGCGATTTAAACTAAAATCTTTCATTACAGATTACGTTTCCAAACAAACCAAACATATGGGTATGCCCTTGAACTTGGTAAAAAGATAATCTGTCTACCATCCTGACTGGAAAACACGATTTTCATTCGTTTATTTTTGCGAACGTTAGTGAACGTTCACACTACTCTGTAATTAATACGAGGAGCGGCTGGAAATAGCGACATCTCCTGGTTGGAATTAGTATTAACATCATAAACTGAAAGCAATCTTTCCGTGACTTACTTATTCAAATGTTTTTAAAATAAATTGATCATCCGAGTATGATCCAGCGGCCGTGTACAGTGCCGAGGGCCGCCAGTTGCCCATCCCTGAATTTGACGATCGAGTTTAGAACTGGATTCCCCCACCCCCACCCCCAACTTATTTTTCTCTTGACCATATGCACAAAATCTCATCTCAATACATGGCTACGCTCTTCCTAATTAATTTTGTCATTCCATTTGAATATCAACATTTAGTTAGTCGAAACAGTAGGGAAACGAACAGAAGGCCTGAGTGGCATGTTATTACTAGTGTTACTAATTAAACTGTAAATAATAAATATTAAATTCAATTATTGTAATTCTAGGGGTTATTATTCAGTAATTCCAAGAGTTAAATGTACATTTCAAACATTTTCGCTTTTCATTAAAACCTATAGCCTAATTGATAGAATCATTCAATTCGAATTCAGTGTTGCTATTATGTCAAATATTCTATTAAAATATGGGTATAAAACAACAAAAAAATATCTGTTCATACTCAAGAGTAATTTGTCTATTATTACTGTTATATATATTATATCCGAAAAGTTCAATACATTAACACTTTAATCTAGGGATTAAAGAAATAATTCACACACAAATGCCATCCAAGATGTAGATGAGTTTGTTTGTTCATTGGAACAGATTCAGAGAAATTTAGCATTACATGACTTGCTCATCAATGGTTAACATTTTCGCTTTTCATTAAAACCTATAGCCTAATTGATAGAATCATTCAATTCGAATTCAGTGTTGCTATTATGTCAAATATTCTATTAAAATATGGGTATATATATATATATATATACTTTTTAGAAGTCACAGAATAATTGTACATTTAAGCAGATTTTTTTTAAAACTTGGATTAGCATTTTACATTAATGTAAATATATATAATGTAAAAATGTGTGTGTGTGTGTGTGTGTGTGTGTGTGTAGCCTCTAGGGTTGCAAAATTCCGGGAATTGAAGAGAAAGGAAAACTTGAAATCGCATCATATGACCCCTTTAATGCAATTTCAGTTTAATTTCCACCCTACACATTGCTCAATAGCATGCACACAGCACACTGCTTACTGGAGGGCTATTGAGGCCACACCCCCTACATGCACTGTGCTTTCCTCCATAACATGAACAGTTCATTTCTTAAATCCTGCACACAAAAATATCAATGTTCATCTTGGTAAGTATACGTGTAAATTACATGAATATTACAAAAAATTGTGTTTAAAACTTCCTTGTGCTGTGTGTAATATACTGTGCAACTAAATTAGGCTATACCATTGTAAAAACAAATATACTGACTGAACAAACCATAGACTGGAACAAACATTTAGGTGAGATAATAAAACAGAAGTCTAAAAATGACCCTCCTTCACACACAATCCCCTCTAGTCACCTAAGAGGGGGATTCCCCTCCATTTTCTCTGAAGGCACACTTGCTGCATTTGATCCCAAAGACTACATCCAAGTTTTCATATTCTAAATATATTTGATCTATGGGATTCAAGTTTAACTAGTAAATACCAAAAAGGGTTTATACAGTAGCTATCTAGCCAGTAAAATCAAGATATGAAATATCTAAGCGAGTTAGCACTATTTCATTGACAATTTATGAGGTACGTGCTAGCTAGCTCAAGCTGTGATGCTCTTTCTGCTATAGCCAGTTTTCTGTTATCATACAGAAGTACAGTACTGGTCAAACGTTTGGAAACATTACCATTTTAATGTTTTAAACATTGCATATATTTTGCTCATCAAGCCTTCATTAATTTAATCAAATACAGAACAAAACAGTAATATTGTATTACTATTACAATTTAAAATAATGGTTTTCTGTTTTAATATACTTTAAAATATAATGTATTTCTGTGATGCAAAGCTGAATTTTGAACATCATTACTCCAGTCTTCAGTGTCACATGATTCTTCTGAAATCATTCTAATATGCTTATTTATAATCAATTTTGGAAACAGTTGTGCGGCTTAATTTTTTATTTATTTATTAATTTTTTATTACCTGTGATTCTTTTTTCAGGATTCTTTGAATACAGAGTTAAAAAAAAGAACAGCATTTATTTAAAATAGAAATCCTTTTTTTAACAATACACTACTATTCAAAAGTTTGGGGTCAGTATCTTTTCTCTCTTTTTTAAAAAAAATAAATTAATACTTACGGTATATTCAACAAGGATGATTTAAAATTTAAAATTTGTATTAGTTTGCATGCATGTGAGCCTATGATCAAACAAAATGTTTATATTTATGTTTG